GTTTTTTTCTGTGAAAATAAACCTGGTTGTTCCTTTCACGTGATAGCAGCGATGATGAATATCAAGTAATTCACAAGTACGGAATATAAACATGCATTGTATTAAAAAGTGTTTACCTTTATTTGTTAGGAGTGATGGGTAATATAAACTTCGGACTGTCGTACAATTTCCTTTCTGATCAATCAGAGCGTGACATTTTCTCATGAATTTGTTGTCCTGACACGTAATTCGAAATTTATGAGTATAAAAAAATTGTTGAATACGTTTCAATACATTTGTCAGTAAGGTAGCTATCATTGTCATCATGTATCATGAATGAGTCTGACAGGAAGTTAAGTTCACGATGATTAACATGCTGAATTATTAATGAAAAGTTCTCCTGATAAAGTGAAATAAATGCTTCATTTTGTAATATAAACCTCTCGTTTAAAAATAGACAAAAACTTACAATGAAAAATTAAAGTAGCTTTCTTTATATAATATCTAACAAATCGCTAGAGTAAATTCAATATCAGCAGGATATCGATTACCCGTTGAAGCTGTATTCAACCAAATTATAAAAAAGGTATGTCCAACCTAAACATTTTAATATGATTAAATTAATAAGATATTTTTTTCATTTTTATCTGTTGTGCTAAAATCTTTTACGACCCAAGTGTAACCAAACCAAGACTTAAACCAAAAAATGTGTATCATTTACGTGTGTCAGGCAAAATTTCAACGAAATACACAGATACGCCCATATGTGCCACTGAAATTCCCAAGGTTAATCCCATAAACACGCTCTGCACACCTATAATATGCAATGACAGAATCGAAAGCAGGCTGTTTGCTATTTGATAGGCTTATACCTGTCATTTGAGAAGTTCTCAAAAGCGACAGCCAAATTCTTTATTTGTCAATTTAACCGCTATGCTGCCCCACGATTGTTTTGATGTACATCAGAGGATCAAACTGTTCTAGTTGTCTCTTTCCGAGAGTATGCATACAGAGCCTTCGTTTTCGTTATGACATATCCAAAGGGTGCATAGAAAGGAATTCAGCGTAACCCCTGGACTATTTAACTGTAGCAAATTTACGGAAATTAACTCCGAAGAAATAAATTATCAGCAATAAGTTGTATACTGTATATTTTTATAAAGTTGTTTCCAATCTTCCAAATTAATTACTGGTTGTCAAAGTTGATTTTCGTCGATAAATGCTGTTTATTCCCCCCAACAGAATCTTATCACTTATACCTTATTACTGTAAGCGTACATATTTTAGCTGTAGTCTTCTTTAAGCACTCTTCGTGCTGTAACGTTTGCGCTAAATTATGAACGAGCTCATGGAAGTTCCTATATAATGTATTCTGTATTTCATGTTTCTTGGATGCACCATTTTATCAAAGCTCTAATTTTTAAGTATTCGATCATAAGCTAAAATATGAAGGCGCTAAAATAAGAACGTGTACAGTATTTATATATTTATATACATGTATTACACATACAAACATATACAAACTTATTTGTTTCAATAAAAATAGATATCGTATTAAGCTAAATGTATACTCTATCGAAAAATCGTTTGAATGACATGAATGCGGTTAGATCAACGTTCTAAAAATGAAGAAGAATGAACTATCCTCTTGCTTCCCGTGGCATTACATTGGTCTGTAATCCTGCATGCGATTTAGATATGACTTTTCAAGTGATTAGTTAAAACTCGAAACATGTCAATTCATACAGAACTCTAGTCTGTTAGACAGATTCCGTATGTTATTCGTTAAAAATTTACTTGAGCAAGTCTTATGTTTGATCACCGGTACTAGCTGTAGCATTAACTTTTTTTTTTATCTAAATCTGTTATAAGTAATTTTAAGATTGTGCTAAGGTTGTTCTACAGTCAATAGCGAGGTTTTGACATCGAACACCAGAAGAACGTACTATACACATTCATATATAATCTGAATATTAAACGTTTCAGAAACATCGCGTGTTGATTCCACACGAGGACTTCCAGCGGAGAAAGTGTCGACAATCTGTCGCGTTCTTTATTCACCCTGACGATGAAGTGGTAATCGAGTGTCTTCACAAGTCTAATACATATAGACCTATCACTGGCTTCGACTATCTACAGCAACGACTGGCAGCCACATACTAAAAGAACAAATATGCAACACTTTTTAATTAGTTAATTAATTAGCATTTAACGTATACACTTTATAAACTGTCTAGTAACATTAGTATATCGCTTGGAAGAAATTTACTATTAATACTGTAATATTGATATCCAGTTAAACACTTCAGATTAGGAAGAAATATGATTTACAATGATTTTCACGCTGAAGATTATTTATCCAAGATATAGTTCCTCTATTGTTTAGAAAATCATATCATTTAGAAATTATTACTGAACTATGTAAGGTGTGATAACAGTGGTATTTTATTAGGGTATTTACCCATCCATCACTGTATACTATAATGGACTCATCCAGCTCAAAGCACTGTTGAATTTACTCAAGTTACATTGGATTAAAAAGGATACATTTCTGCAAGTATGCCATGGATAAGCGTGGATAAGCGTGGATAAGCATGGATAAGCGTGGATAAGAAGTGATTTTCTAAAAATTCGAAATGGCAAAAAGTCGTGCATGAAAGTAATATCAGCACGACAAAATAGAGAACTTCATTGTTGATTTGTTGATATAGAAATGTATTGTTTTGTGATTGAATAGGAATTATCAAATGGTATTGATGTATCAAGTTAGTTAGGTTTAGTTATTGACGCTGATATAATGTACACAGAAGGGTATGTTTGAAAACAATGATCAAATAAACTTAAATGGGATGTTTTCATAAAATAGAACAAATCATAAGATCTATGGAGGTAACGCAGGTGTTATTTCCCTTTTACCATTACATTTCGTCTGACATCAGATGCGCCTTGTTTTTTTTATCGACTTACACACTGAACACTTCATAGTTAACATATAACCAACAATGAGTAAGGTAGAAGTACATATAAACAAATAAATTGCAACGTCATTGATTTTTTTTTTCATAAAAGATGTAATAAATTAGAGGTAATACGTCATGCCCTTGACAGGCTGCCAGCGCTAAAGCTTTTTGTAAAGAATTTTCCAGGTATCTAGGTAAGACAAGGCTGTCCAATCTATTGCCTCAGCGGGCAAAACAATGTAAAATGATTGATTTTCGTGCAAAAGAATAAAGTCTCTGATTTCAAAAAGTTATTTTCCTTCCATGGAAAATGTTTCTTTAAGTATTGTCCTCTTTTTTTTTTTTTTTTACATAAATCATGACATAGTCGACAAGGCAACTTGGTACTGGGCGCCACCATTACTATGTACATACACAGGGACTTGGTATTAATTTCTAACCCTCAGTTCACATATGTGTATTACATAATGTATGGTATAAAAAAATGTCTACCATAGGATGGTAATTCGTGCCAAATCCCTGTGCCAGATTCAATAATTTGAAAGCTTAGAGAACAAGGCTAAATCCGCTAAGGTTGAATACATAAATATGTGAATACAAAATGAACGCTTGGCTAGCAACGATGAGATGTTACAAAAATCGAACATGTTCAGTGTTTGTTAGAGGTGCTACAAAAAAGAAGCAGTATGCTTTTCCATTCAAATCAAATAAATCAATTTATGAACATATTTCAAATGCCTTAATTTTCAACTGAACGAAATAGTCAAAATTTGGTTCCTCGTAATTCTAGTTTATCTAAGGGGGTCGCTTTCAAACCTATATTATTATAGTATTATGTTTATGCGTCATGTTGAATAATTAGAAAAAGACATATCAGTAAGTCAATTCTTTCATCAACGGATGTCTATTATCTCACGGAGATAAAAACTACAAATTTGTTTGTTACAGAAGCGTGGCAAAAGGTATTATATATTTCCTAAAATATGAAACAATGCTTTAATACGGCTCCTATATATATATCATTTAAAAGAAAGAATTCAGTGTTTTTTAAAAAAGTATTGTCCTAATAGTTTCCTAATTATGTGTAGTTGATTTTGCTTTATCTCTCGACTCCGATCACCTGAAAACAGTGGTATTGCTGACGGAATAAGAAGCTCGGAAATATAAAATGAAGAATTCAAAAACCATTTGTATCATTTGGCTCTAAAGAAAAGTATTAGATAACATTACCTATCCATACATTCAAATCTTAGCCACGCTGAGATTGGTTATTTGTGATATTGACTAGGATTTACTAGTTGTAGAAAATGTAGGTAAATATTCGCTTGATGACGTCACATAAATCGTTACGTCACTATTCAATGCCCTCTGCAAAATGGAGTACATATATCTTGAGATTTTCATTTTGTTTTCCAAAAATTCTTATAATTTCATACGGACTATGGTGGGAGGGAATAGCAAAATTCTAACACAAAGCTGACGAATGACAAAATAATGCACATGAAGGCTAGAAATCCCTAGTAATTCAGCCATTAGCTTTGAGTTTCCTCCCCTTCCTCAAGGTGAAAAGTTAGATAATTCTTTCAGTAACAATATGCAATATCCTCAACCATAAATAGCGTATATTACAATTTTTAACCCCTTTTGTACGTGATAATGACATTGTGGTTATATGTGCCTGTGACATTGTGGTTATATGTGCCTGAAAAGTTGATATGACTTCGTCACGGTCATTCACCTCAACAATAGTTCATAACTGATAAATTAATAACTCTCTCAATTCATTATTCTGCTCACGATTACAAGATAAACTATTCAACGTTTACAATTTTATAAAATCACTGGTCCATAATACCCATTTACAAGGATGCGTGTACTTATATATATATAGGTGTATGTTATCATAAGGTAAGACTTACAGTTTACCGGTAAACACTGTCGACCTTACACCAGTTCACTGCTCGCAAGCAAATGTGTTTTTCTAAAGTTATTGGAGCGAAGCGAGCCCGAATGAAATGACTACAACATATCCTAGGTGTGATTTGCATAGGTTAACGAACTTACTTACGTATCGGATGTGACATAGGAGGGATTACTGCAATGGCATATGCTATGAGACATTCGAAAAGCAGAAGCCACCTTTTGAATAACATGCTCACCACTCGTCGTTCGATTTGTGCGATGAAAAAGAATACTTATGCAAGAGTTGTTTCTCACTCCATAGACGAGGACTATGTCAAAACAAAGCCTTTTAAAGCGATTCCGGGACCGAAAGGACTACCTTTTATCGGCACGCTAATGCAATATACAGGTATTTTACTGAATACAAACCGCATGTGTGTTTTCTAAAAATCTTACATTTGTTTATTTTATGAAACAGTTTAACGGAATGATCTTTCAAAAATACTGATATCATTAATGAGAAAAAATGTTTTTTTCAACGAAAGCAAAACACAATTATTATTTTATGTTATATGACCTTTTTGTTAATTGCTGTGGCTAATACATGTTTGCATCTTTATTCCCTTGTGCTATTATGGTGATATTGAATGTTCAATCAAAATTATTTCCAAGGTACATAGTGTTCAATTTACCGTGAAAAGCGAGGTCTGAGACTGATTGTCGGTAGCGTTTATAAATGTGTCACACGTATTTGTTTGTTTGCTTGTTTGTGTTGTACGTCCTTATCATAGTTATGGTTATTTAAGAACGTGCCAAAAAACACCAACCTACATCCAGTACCTACGTAGGCCTCGAACCCGAGACCCAATGATGGAGAGCTAGTGGTACAATGTAGCAGTATGTCAGCCGCCTTAACAACTTGGCCACTTGGCTACCGTCGCCCCCTCACTTGCTTATTTCAAAAGTTTAAGCTGATTGTACTTTGTCACACTTGTTTTATAGGATTTTCAATTTGGCAATGTTGATTGTCATACCCATTGCTGAGATGCAATATTTACGCCCTGATGATATTCGATTTGCATTATTTTCTTGGAAAAAATAATGTGATAAGTTCTTGAAACAGTTTTACACTTCTTATTTAAAAGATATAGAAAAATGGAACGCATATGAATGTAATTCACGCTATCGCAGCTGATGGCGTTATTATACCTTTCATAAGAAAATGTATACTAAGGCACTTTAAATTTTCAATTTCATTTGGTAATCTAAATTGTTTTTTTTCTCAAATTCATCTTTCCTGATATGGCACCGGTAATAAAGAACAGAATATAGTAACACCTGTACCGTATAACTCCCTTAAATATGTGATTATTCAATAACAATTAGTGTTAAAAACAAATGATTCTTTTCCAAATTAAGGGTGACGAAGATTTTGTTTATCTATTGAATTCCCACTTTGAAACGATATTTTTAAATAACAGTTCTTGTATATGGAGTCGCCATTTCTTTTGTAAATTATACAACATAACTTGAAAAGGGTTTATTTTTTGAGGAGAGCGAAAATTACACACACGGCAATCAGTTAATATGTCTCTGCTTTACGTTATTTTACGTGGTAACTTAACCAATGATGAATCTAAAAAAAACGAATAAAAAAACAAGAGAATGCCAAAGGGTCGACAAAACAACATTCGAACTCAAAATCGATAAATTATGGCAATTGACGGAGTTCGGGGACAGTAAAATCCACCCAACAATCGAAATCTAGATTATCATAGTTTGTCTCTAAAGAATAATATTTCAACTCCAAAAACCCAGGTGGAGTATAAAATGGTCTGGGGTGGATGTTGCGGTATCTGTGATGTAGCATTCAAGTGAGGTGGCACTATAAAAGATGCCTTGGGAAGCACGATCCCACTACAAACAGAGCACAATACATCTCCAGCACGCACGTAGGCATACACACATAGGGAGATATTAGCCAGGTGGCATAGGACTAGTAGTTAGCGCCTAATAAGGCAGCTCCTGCGAATTCCTCAAAATTGTATATCATAATTGTATTAATTGTATATCTATGTACTGTAAAGCGCTTTAGAGTGGTTTATGCAAGCTAGATAGGGGATTTTATCAAATATTGTATATATTATTATTATTTAACATAACCCATTCATACAACCTCATCATAACAAAACTGTTGTTTGCTATTTGTGATACTGACTCTGATTTATAAGTTTTAATATGTCACCTGAGCACATCGAGAAGTTTGGTAGTGAGAACAAAATCATAAGGCACCTTAATGAGCACATACGACTATTTACCGCTTTCATTGATTTGAAATATAACTTAACATATGTTCTATGTAGAATATATGATGCATCGTGTTTTATATCGGGTGTTAAGATTATGGTATTAATACAGTTACCATAATTTTGATACATAAATTAAGCAGATAAACCTGTTTTTTCTTGATAATTTCAATGCACCTCATATTATTACATGTCATATTCTCAGTTACGCGAATGTTGCTTGGGGGAAATTGAAAAACCCCACAAAAGACACATTTAAAGCAGAGATAGAGTATAGAAATAAGGGGGTAATGTATATATGGTATCAAGTCATATAAAATTGACATCAAGAATATTCCCGACACAACATTTGCAGCAGAAACGTTGTATCTTGATTAAACGGCAGATAGTCTGAGTGATTAGATATTTTGTTTGTGTAAAAATTTCTCTTTATTTAGTATATCATAAACATGTCACACAATACATACTATAAATTGGAGACACATCATATTGTCTTCTCTTCCCTTAATGCTATGTTGCCTTTCTCTTTCTTAGAATATTATTGAGGAAAGATATAAAGACCGTGGTCAATTTTCGTCCATTTGAAAATATTGCAACCCCCCCCCCCCTCCTATTTCGCATCATGCTGTAAAAAATGGATATCTGTCATGTATTGTATTGTGATAGTACATTTTCCATCTTTCTATAATCGATGTTGAATTCGCATAAGCATACGTACAGAGCTGAATAACAATGCAAACTTCTGATATTAAAGTCTTAGAATGCAAACGTAAACAAGCGAAATTAAAATAAAACTTTTATGAATGTGCTGCGAGGCTTTAGCATTTTGATAGTACGAGTAATTGTTAAACTGATCAACAAAGTCACTACTACCTGTCTTAGACACTGGTTACTTGTGTTAGACTCAGAGATTACAGAACGCAAAACAAAGTTTATATTTACAACCGCAAAGATCGTGATGTTTGTCAAAGGTTGAAATTGCAACGGTCAAATTTTATCTAGTTTGCTTTGATATGTTAAGTTCATTTGGTTAATTTAGTTGGTATACGAAACGGCTTTTATATTTACTCTCTTTTATACATATTCATTTTTACACATTATCAATCAGAATAATATCTTAGTATTGTATACATTAATTTTGTTTCAGGTCCATTCCGAAAGTACGACACAATGCACTACCAGGCTGTTCTTGAATCACGCTGGAAACAGTATGGGCCTATTGTAAAGGAGACCATTGGCAATCATACGGCGGTCCGACTGTTCGATCCCGATTTTGTCCAGACTATTTACAAACACGAAGGGGTGTGGCCAAGCATCGTCCCGATCCTAGAGTGTTCCCGGAAATACCGCGAATCAAGGAACATGTCTCCTGGACTTGGGAACGTGTGGGTATATTTATCAAAGTGTTATGAAAGAAAGAATTATATAATAAATGTACATGTACATACATATAGCAAGTTCTTTAGTCCAGGAGAGACAGGCGCAAAAACAATAAATTAAAGTGATTTGAAAGTGGACGCCTTTTTCCATATTCGAAATGTGAAATTTACTCGCACTTTTCGTAGAGCAAATATTAATACAAAAATAAGCATAGCCACTGTTAGTAGAAACAACGACCAGTAGCAGGAGGATCGAAAGGAAGAAAGTTTGGGAGCAAAATCAACAGCAAGTCGCTGCTAGCACAGTATAACGGTTGTTTGTTCAAAATATGCATGGAAAATATCGTGATCAGTCCCTCTTGCATTTATACTATTTTTGCATGAACATGGAATTTAAACCATTATATCAAATGCAAAGCCATTCCGTTTCATCCATTAGCATATCATAATGATTAAGAAGCCATCTTTTTATATTTGTTATCTTTATCAAACAGAAATGGTGAAGAGTGGAATGAAATGAGGAAAGCTGTTCAAACAGTGATGTTGCGACCCCAAGATGTAACTCAATTTCTTCCATTTATGAACGAGGTAGCTGATGACGTCATAGACGAAATAGAAAGCAGGAAAGATTACGAGGGAAATATCCAACATTTCAATAATGTCATGGGAAGATGGAATTTGGAAAGTGAGAATTATTTATATATATATATGTATTTGTACTTAATTGTAAATACAATAACAAATGATATTTCGTATTTTATTTTATTCTTACTTTTATTGTAATGTTTTAATTATCATCATCATCATCATCATCATATATTTATTTTGTTTTATATAACATACACTATAACAATTCGGATATTTGATGCAACATTTGGAAACAACCAGAACACTGCCAGTGCGGGGATGCTGTTTGTCTATGCTAAATTACATTCAAATCAGATTTCTTAAAAGAAAACATGATAACACATTTTCAAGCGATCTGATCGAGTCACGCAGAATTTGTTAGCCAGTTGTTTTTTTCTATCACTCAAATGTTTTAAATAATTCTTATCATTTAAAAAAGATAGAATAGTTCGAGTTACATTTACCAGGAAAATGCATCCTGTATTAACTGGCGATTTAAATTCATACACATTTTTAATTACGTTAATTTGTATTGGTAGCAATACATATCGCTGATAGTATTTGAAAGTAATGATGTCAATGTGTATCATTAAAAAACTGCAAGTGAACAGAATAAACAGCTAAATCACAAACGTTATCTTCATAAAGAATTAATTAATAACATGTCACATTTTTATATAGGTGCCGGAATGATCTGCTTTGAACAGAGGCTTGGCTCACTGAAGGATGGATTGCATTCACATTCGCAGAGAATGCTACAAGCGAACGATGATATATTTCACCTTGCCACACAAATGATGTTTACACTTCCTTGGAATTTCAAAACCTATTCGAGACTTTCAAAGAGACACTACAAGGCAGAAGATTATTTCTACGGGTAATGTGTTGCTTTTTGTTCTGTACCCAAATACATTTTTTGTTGTTGAAGTTTGAATGAATTGAAAAGCCTATCTGTACAGGTAGCAATGATTTTCCAAGATCGATGTTTTCCTTATTCAAATATATTGACGATTTGTTGACTCATTGACGACTCATTAGAAATCTATATGATAAACTTGACTTTTTTTGATTTTACGATCATGAACTTTCTCTTCCTTGACCGTAATATTCCTATTTCTCCCACTACACTGCTTACCTGCCGCAGTTACTTTTTTGTTCGTTGAATTTATCGCAGTAGTATTATGATAGATACTGAATCTACATTTAGGAAGACTATGTTGATCTTATGAAAGTAATTGTGAACTTATTGGGAACTATTCGATTACCTTGTTAGGTATACATAGATATCCTATTGTGATTGAAGTTTTACAGTCCCGGCTTACACTTCGGTATGTGACATTACTGTTCTAAGTTTTTTCTTGTACTTTTTCATTATTCATTACGAAAACTTTTCATTTGTTCATATACTTTGATACTTCGGCATTTCCTATTATTTTGTAGGTTAATAAACGCTTCCCTTTTAGGTGGATGTCCTCACAAAGCATATTACTAGCATATCGAAGAAAAAAGTGAAAGTCTTGTTTTGTTTTTGTTTTGCTTTATAAAGAAATGGTCAGCATCTGCTAGACACAACTGTGTCGAATATAAAAAATCTCACAGATCAGGGGAAGCTGAAAGAAGGGCAATTCATGTTCATTTCTCATCTGTTATCCAAAACAAACCTCGACTTCAAAGATCTGAGTATGACAGTACTGACCCTATTTGCTGACGGGCTGAACGCTGTGAGTCTCTCTGCTTTTTTTGTTTAACCTTTTTTCATGCAATGCATTTATATTTAATACAATGTAACAGATTCTACGAGCATTCATTATGATTTTGTCTTTATCTTTATGTATCTAGGTCTCTATTTTACTTCTTCTGAAACACAACAATTATTTCAATGTAACATAACATGACATGCGAAAGAAATCAAATGAGTCTCATTTGATAGTTTTTTATTATGATAATCCATAAAGATACAGTTACGATTAAATTGAAAATATATGAAAATTGCCAACTGCTTTGGCTTCGTCGTAAACATGACACATGCATTTGTGTCAACACAGGAATCTAGAAACAGATGCTTTCCAATTGTATATCAGTGTTTGACCTCTTTTGTCTATACATCTGTTACCTGGCTTTTATATTATTGTGAATTAGTTGCACACAGTAACAATAGATTCTCCACAGACAGTACCAACGTTCCTGCTAGCTTTGCACTGTTTAGCAAAGAATCCAGAGATCCAGGAAATCGCATTCAACGAGCTCCAACAAAATACTCCAGATGACAACTTAATTACCAGGGAATGTCTGAAAAACTTGCATTATTTGAAAGCGTGCTTCAAGGAGTCCTATAGGTAATACAAACATGAAACGTTATTACATTATACGGGGGATGATTCAAACAGTTATAATTTATGCACGGAAAAGAGAGTGAAAATTACATATAATCGTCACATTTTTTTAAAATTGCAAACTATTTGATTATTAAGTGATATTTTTCTTATACATCATTTTAATTCATGTTATTTGACTAGTTATATTCTATCACAAAATAAAACAATTTATTATCATGTTATGATTGTCTAAACAATTTATTAGCATGTTATGATTGCCTAAACAAATTAAGTTATCAATAAAGGGATCTACGCATATTAGATGTATTTGCGAACAACGTGTTTTAGAAACATTCAATAACAGTCTGTATTATCAACTGAAATGTATGTTAATTTTTGTTTTTTTAAACTTCGATTTTCCATTTCATTTATGTCTGCGAAATACCATGTTGATGATACATGTTAGCTTACTAAGCTGAACAATTATAACCATTCCCAACACACAAAATCCTTCAGGATGATGTCTGATGTATATGGCACAATGGCATGAATTATGTTGCAATGTTTTGCTACTTATTTCATAAATTGTGTCTTACAATTTGAAGCCTTGCTCTAATTGAACCAAAATTGTTCATATCATTTGCAAATTATATTACGTTTTCCGTATCAATGTTAATTAAATTATTTTTGTCCAGCACTAAATTAGACATTTTGCCGTTTACCTTATCGGTATCATTATTGCTTTCAAGAAATGTAAATTATACATTATGTTCTTCAGTCGTTGATACCTTCTCAGTGTAATATATCTGGTCACTTTAGCTATCTTACAGTTTGTTTCTAGTGCCTAATTGAGGGCATTCATCTCGTGACAGGACATATTTTTATTTCGCTTCAAATAAAAATATACAATATTTTCATATACCATTATCTTAATCCATTGAGACGTGAAGGTAACGCTATTGCTGGATACTGTCCATTTGCATATTCATGTAAAGTTCAAGAGATGCTTACAGATAGCTACAAGCTTAAATGTTTCACGTCATTCACTGCTTATATCAAATAATATGTAACCAATAATGCTATCATTTACGAAAGCCTATTGAGCTATTTTTTGGTAGTTTTTCGCGTAATAACGCGAAAATAACCCTACAGTAACGCAAAACTTTCGCAAAATAACGCGAGACTAACGCGTAATAACGCGAAACTTTTGCAAAATAACGCGAAACTACTAGTTGCTAAAGAAACTACCCCCAAGTCAGAATTTTCATGTGATGAAACTGTTAGAGACCTTTGCCTTTTACTGATTGAAGAAAATGGATGTTTTTTTCCTGATGACGCCGAGGACGCGAACAAGTTATATATACGTCTAGGGGAAATAATTTTATCACTTCTGTGATACACGAAGTACACACAAGTATGTTTAATTTCTACTAGATGGAACTTTCGATCTACATTTGAAAAAAAATGTGACAAGAACTATTTCAATGTACTTTTTTTTTAAAATCCTCCTGTGTTTATTGGTCTTGATCTTGTTTTATATAAGTGTTGCAATGATGTAACCAATAAACATTTAGGAATAATAAAATCAACATCAATATTTGTTCTCCATAAATCTGTGTTTTTATCAACAAGAGGTCCACGGGCCTAGATGCTCACCATGGCTATATTTTGTCATGATGACAAAACCATTACATCTGTGGTCCTTGACATTATATTAATTTAGCACTGAATTTATACTATGCTAAACTTTATCCCATTGGCGTAATCCATTGTATAACCCCACGGACTTCATTGAAACAATTAACTATCTATCTTCCTAAGACACCATCATACAAAAAAAAATGCGAACCCCTGGCCATTTAATGTCAATACTAACATTATACTGTGTTGAACTTTGACTATTTGGCGTGACTCCATTTACGACCCAAGAAAACTTCACTTTCACAACATTGAATCTACATCCATAGACCAGTCGTGTATGGAAAATACTAAATTCCTGTTACATATGGTTCTTTAGAAAACAATATTTCATATAACAATACTTTTATCCTGCATTGACATTCACAACTCTGGTGTGGCACCATTCATAACTCTAGGGACTTCGTATGCACAACTTGTCATCTTAACCCCCGTTGTACACCACGTAGGTTACATTTCACATCATTTACTGATATGAATCTTGTCCAAAAAGACATTAAATTGTTACCACAAATTGTATGATTTGTTGACGTTTGTCCCCTAGGCGTGTCAGAATTAAGACCCAAGATAATCCATTTGAACAGATCGTAATTTACAACAGTAGGGCATCATATATGCAAAATAGTAACGTGAAGTATTGTTTAACAGCACATCAACACACAAAGGTAATTTAGTGCTGCCCATGGCTATTGTAGAGGCCCAATCTATGGCTCAGGGTACTGTGTGTTAATCAAGAAATAGCATTTGTATATGTGGTCTTCTTCATTAATGGTTCAACTGGACTATGCAAACGTAGAACCGCTTATTATGACAAGTTTGGCATTATTACGCATTAGTTTCGCGTTTTTTCGCGAAAAAAAAAACTCCTACGAAAATTAGCTCAATAGGCTTTCGTAGTCATTGCTATAAAGCCTTATTAGATATGTTCCTTAAATAACGTGTTATGTTATCGAAAACAGGTTTTATCCATTGAATCTTGACACAAAGAGGGTATTAGACCATGATATTGCTGTGGGAGGATACCAGATACCAGCTGGGGTGAGGTTATTTCTACCAGAAAGGTGTTTTTTTTACATTTGTTACCTATTCATTTGCGCAATAAACAACAGTTATACGAAACGTGTGTGGAAATTATTTGATCACACCCTTGCAAGTGATATAAATACACGCATACATGTATGACATTTTCTCCTAAACATTATTTATATATCTGACTTGCATACAGTGATGATATATCACGTTTTAAGAGATTACCGAATTGATGATCTCGTGCACTCACAAAATCTGCTATTGGAAACTACAAAAACTTAAACTAGCGCAGTCATAATTTCGAAACAATATTTAAAGCTAGAATAAAGCTTAAATGTGTTCTAATTATCATTAAATAGGCAGTATTATACAGAGACTTTTGATCAACGTAGTCATAATTGAGCACAATATTTAAAAGAGCCAAAATATACCTGTAATACTGCTAAAATGTGTATGTTAGCATGCCTTTATATATTTTCCCTCTTTTTGACAGACTGTGATAGAGTTGTGTTCTTTTGTACAACAAATGTCCCCCGAGTATTTTGACAACCCGACGGAGTTCAAGCCAGAGCGATGGATACGAGGAAGTGACCACTTCAAAATGCACCATCCATTTATTGTTATTCCGTTCAGTCATGGCCCGAGGATGTGCATAGGTAAGAGTTACAATTACTACAAGATTGAAATACAAAAAAAAGTATTTTTCCAATATATATTTAGGCTTATATTGATACTAGATGTTCCAGTAGTATACATTGCGTGCCGGCAAAACCCATGAGCAATTTGAATACGTAAGATCATATTGGCTGCTAATCAGCGCTGAACAATTTTGTACTCATTTTATTCGATTAAGACTGTTTTGTGTATCAATAAATTTATTTTTCGCAGGTCGGCGCATAGTTGAACAGGACATGTACGTAATGATGGCGAAACTGCTTAAAATGTACAAAGTCACCACTCCAACTGACGAATTGGGCCTGAAATATCAGATCATTCAAGCACTGGATAAACCCGTAACGTTTACATTTCAGAAACGTTAATAGAAGAGTATATGTCCATCTGTATTTTGAATGAACAGCATATTATGCATACGTGTCAGTTGCATAATGTATACAGAAGAACGTGTTCCGGGCAAAATAGTATAAGCTTCGTTATATAATGTAAACAGAACACAGAACTTTTGGGATATTAACTCATTAGCCCCCGACATTTCATAATGAGGTATTCCAACCTTTGAATTGGAAGAGTTCAACTGTGTCTACAGGAGTGAATCAGTTAATTTGGACGGAACCAAAGAGTAACCTGATTATACGCTTTTGGTCAGAAAGAAAATTCCATGTCTTCGATCGGGGAATCGAACTTGGTCGTCTTGATGAAAGGCGAATGCGCTATCCACTTTGGCATTCGAGCAGCAAACGTCTCTACAACTGTTCATACCCGAATCGAAACAATTCTGTAGGTAACTTTTCACTGAGTGACTCAGCAGTATGCAAATAAAATACAATGTTAATTTCATTATGTATAGTAAAATGGAATATAGTGTTTAACTCTAGATATGTGAGTGACTACTGCATACCGTGAAACGTTCGCCAAATGTTTGCCCTTCAGAGGCAAAATCTGAATACGCTTAGTGCAAATATTGCCCTATTCCGTATTTTCGTATTGCAGAGTTATCTGCTCTTGTGAGAAGGTATTGATTGTTACGTCATTATTTTGTTTGAGAAAATAACGTAGTTTTCTCAAATATTTATGATGTTACTCTCACTAACAAATGACGTAACAATCAATCCATGCTCACAAGAGCAGAGCACTCTGCAATACGAAAAGACGGAATACATCATATTGATTTATATCAAATGTATTTAACTATTGTTATTTAATACATTCTTTACTATCTTTCCAGAAACATACTATCAGTATGATTTATAAGGTCCATAAATATGTACTTTGAATTTTATAGCATGCTAATGATCAATATATAACATTGGGTCAAAATTTTAACAAAGTCCTCAATAAAATACAGACTCAATTCACAATATCTTTTTTTTTTCTTTAATACAAATATGTTGACTCTGCTCTGCTTTTTAAATGCACAAAATATATCTAGACGTGTTGAAAAAAGTTTCTTTTAGCATGTTATTTCATCAGTTTTACCTATTTAATTAAAAACAACGAAAATTTACCATCAAGCATTCCATTAAGTGCCATTTCTCTGTACAATGTCTTTTACCATTAACATTATTATTTCTAATATTTGTTCTACCCTTTAATTGTATCTATACCTAATGAAAGCGTTAATTGCACTTATTTTTTTTTGTAAACAAATGATACATGGTAATAAATGATAAATGCATACTTGCCAACCTTTTGCATTTTATGGGGGAGAAGCCGGGAGCTCAAAATAAAATATTACAAAATATGAATAATGTGTATATGCCCCCTAGGTAAAAAAAACACTTTAGAATGTCAATCGTCTTTTTAGTTGTTCTTTCTGGTGAAATCATTGGGTATCAGAATAATTAAGCAAGTTTACTGGCTGAAAATGGTCAATTCTAGCGCGGACTAAGATAGCAATCTAAATGGTCTGACCTATGTGTCGAAAGGTGTTAGGGGACGTAACTCACGAGATCTGGAAAAATAAGCTACATGTAGATATGATTCGTCATTTCACCAAGGCATTAGACCATGACTTTGAATAATTTTAATATGCTTCACTATTCGGTTCTTAAATATGACAAGAGGCCCATGGGCCTTAACGGTCATCTGAGTCCTACAGTATTAATTTTTGTTGTTGAAATATGAAGTGAAGATAATGATGTCAATCATCCCTACCAAAATTTGAGTAAAAAATACCCAGATAGCAGACATACGTTGACCCAACGTTGGCTGTTGGTCGTTTGGTTGGCCTTAAGTCGGCGTTGGCTAAGTGCTGTTGGCCCAACACTGGTTGAACATTGTAAAACCAACTGTTGATTTTCATGTGTTGGGCCAACGTTGGCTGCACGTAGTAAATCTAACAATTAATTCCAATGTGTTGGGCCAACGTTCGCTGGATAAAGTGAATCTAACAATCAATTTCCATGTGTCATTGACCCAACGCTGGCCCGCTGCCATTGTCTATATATGATTTATAAGGTCCATAAATATGTACTTTGAATTTTATAGCATGCTAATGATCAATATATAACATTGGGTCAAAATTTTAACAAAGTCCTCAATAAAATACAGACTCAATTCACAATATCTTTTTTTTTTCTTTAATACAAATATGTTGACTCTGCTCAAATGTTACATTGTTAAGCATCTTGAAATGTGATAATTTAACGTTCGTATTGAGATACAATGTACACGTATTAAACTAAAGATAGCTTATCAGTAAAAACAATAGTAGTCATTTATATGTATGGTACAGAAATGTTCTGTTGTTTCTGCCCTTGTACGAGGTATATTTTATATAACTTTTCGGTTTCACCACGAGTTCAATAAATCTCACGTCTTCATTTGTCATCAGGATAATAAGGGCTCGGTACAACTTCCAACATGTATTGGATAACTTTCGTGATGGGTGCTGTTATTAAAAAAACATTGATATATTTTACAAAATAATAGTAAAAAATAAAAATATACAGCATTTGATATAACGCCCTTTCTAACTAGCATACGCCGCTCTAAAGCACTTTACAATACACAGATATACAATTAATACAATAAGCATTTACATTAATCAATACAAATTTTGAGGAATTCGCAGGAATTGCCTTAAGAGGCGCTAACTACTAGTCCTATGCCACCTGGCTAATATATCCCTATGCGTGTATGCCTGCGTGTGTGCTTGCGATGTAATGTAACAGAACTGATAATGCCGTTCATAACTTATCTTTGAATTTATATTTAATTTAATTTTGTAAGACATGAATGTTTGGTACCCCTTTAGAATAACTGTGTTAATTATTATTTTACTGTCAATCCGACAAATAATCCAGCAAACATCGCGAAAATATTAGATAATAATAATAATAAACTTTATTTATTGAGGATAAAAAAACCTGTTTAGCAAAGGTAATCTTGTAAGAATTAAGCGTGGTATATATAGTTCTACTGGCTTTATATGTATCTGGTCACAACATGACTGCACTCCCCCGTCCCCCTCCCCACCCTGGTGCGATGTCTGAAATGCTCATATACTATACTGATATGGGTCACAACACACATCTAACATACACAGGTGTAACGAACCCCTGTGGTTCAATCTAGGTGCGATTTTTTTTATATATTTCGTCGTCCGGGGCAGAGGAGGCCGGGTATTACTATAAGTACTAGGTTCAATCACACCTGGGTTCGTTACAAATGTCTGAAATACACATGTACATTGTATNTACAACTGGCTGTTTGGAGGATGTTAAACCCCATACAACTGGCTGTAGGGTGGAAGTTAAACCTCATACAACTGACTTTTGGGAGGATTCTAAACCCCTTACAACTGGCTGTTGGGAGGATGTTAAACCCCCAATTGAAGTATATCGCTTATTTACAATACAACTTAATCATGAATAAAAGTATAATACAACACTGAGTAAATTCCTAGTATTATTTTTTCCCCCGATTGCTCTAATCTAGATAATCATACTGTAATTTATTTTAGCTACAAACAACTTTATTATAGGTTTTTATATCACATTATTATATTTAGGAGTTGAATACCTATTCATCAAGTTCATTTGGGTATTTCTTGCATAACAATTCATTAAAATTAAACTATGTTTACAATTGTGTAATGTTAACAGTGTTTTTGTTTTAATTTGTATTTAAATTTTGCAAACAACGGATTATTGCATTCTTACTTGTTTCTAAAAAAAAATGCATGTTTATCAATACTTAGCGCATTAAAGCAAGGATTTGAAACATATAGTTCAATCGCGTATCCGCGTATCGGTAACAATCAAAAACTGATTGTGGCGAATTCTTAAGACTTTCTTGAGAACATTGAATCTACATTTAATTGTAAAATTTATTTCTAAGTCGGACGCAAACTTCAGCGTTAAACCTTTGGCAATCACCTTATATGGAATAAAAAATATTCACAAAGGAAAATTTAATAAGCGCAATGATAAGATGTTGATAAAGCGCGAAAAGCTTTGCATTAAAATACCCCTAAAAAGTTAATGTTTACAGTAACTTGTTTTATATGTTTGCTATCTCCATCATGTACGTGCATATTTTCAATGATTATTATAATATACTGTTTACCGTTTAATGTATACATCACTCTATTAGCAAACGACAAACGCAGAATATGGATAGTTATGTGTATAAAAAGGTTTTTCCATATTAACATGAATAGAGAGAAAGATTAAAAATAAATCCCTTAGGATTAGCAAAAGATAATTATAACGAAGATAGAAGAAAAAGGCTATCGATAATCGGTCATTAAACGTCACAACACCCTTAAGATATTCATTTGATATATATTTGTATACGAATATCATTATTGGCTCTTTGGGTAAGCTGTGGCCTCAGCTGCGCTGGTATCGAATGTCGGCTTTTGTGTCACAGATTCCTCGACATCCACGCACAGATTAAGTACATCTGTACTAAGTTTGCTCTATTATAATCGTAAGTTCGTTAGTGTGAATATTTGCTGGCTGTTTTATTCCGGATGTTTTTTTTATGTTGAGCTATAAAATTGCAATATGAGCTATATCAGGGAATTTTACAATAGGAGCACATGAACATATCCAGCTCTACGGGTACAATTGGTATACGTGTCATGGTTTCGTTTTTACAAAAATGGCAATGTTCTCATAAAAGCCTCTTCTAACCCTGATCCCAGTTGTTCAAATGCTGATTAGCTTATTTACTATTTAACGACAGTTTTTCAACTTTTAATAATTTTGTCAATATAGAAAGCATGTTTATCATGAGTGAGGAAACCAACAGTTGTTGTGGGAGAAATGTAATTACCTGTAGGGTAGAGGAGGGCGGGTATTAATATAAGTACTAGGTTCGATCACACCTGGGTTCGTTGCAAATGTCTGAAATACACATGTATATGCTATACTGATAAGGATCACAGCACACATCATGCTGTGACCTATATATCAGCATAGCATATGGTATATTTCAGACATTTGTAACGAATTGATCCCCTAANCATGCTGTGACCTATATATCAGCATAGCATATGGTATATTTCAGACATTTGTAACGCATTGATCCCCTAGCTGTGGTTCAAGGTAGGAAGTCGAGGGGGATTCGAGATTGATTCATAAATGATAAGGAGGTAGGCCAATTCCTGGAAGGTTGTAATGTGGTAAAGAATCACATTGCCGTGCTTTTTAAATGCACAAAATATATTTAGACGTGTTGAAAAAAGTTTCTTTTAACATGTTATTTCATCAGTTTTACCTATTTAATTAAAAACAACGAAAATTTACCATCAAGCATTCCATTAAGTGTCATTTCTCTGTACAATGTCTTTTACCATTAACATTATTATTTCTAATATTTGTTCTACCCTTTAATTGTATCTATACCCAATGAAGGCGTTAATTGCACTTATTTTTTTTGTAAACAAATGATACATGGTAATAAATGATAAATGCATACTTGCCAACCTTTTGCATTTTATGGGGGAGAAGCCGGGAGCTCAAAATAAAATATTACAAAATATGAATAATGTGTATATGCCCCCTAGGTAAAAAAAAA